ACCAATTTGTTGCTGGTTCTGCAATTGGTTTCGCTGACATTGCTATTGGTGTTACCGCTGCTGCATCTGATAAGCGCTTAGCTGCTGAGGTTGCTGAGGGTGTAACTGGACCATCGGATGATTAATTGAAAGCTGCTGAGCCATGCAGTTTGAAAGATGAGCCTCTCCACTGGGCTCTGCTGAGGCAAGCTTCGGTAGCTGGACTTCGGCAGCTAATGCTTCATTTAGTGCTGCCAAATCGAATCCATAAAGGAGACAAATGTTTTAGTTCAAATAGAAAGGTATCATTGGCAGTGTTAGGTTGCATTAACAAATAAAAAGGAATGTCAAAAGCAACCCGAATAACCAGCACAATCATACTCATATCTATAGTGCCCTAATAGTCAAAATGAACATAAAGGAAAAACTTGAACATGGTGTCTATATGCTTCACTATAACTGCAGAAAACATTCAATTTCAGGTATATACAAATTGCTAATAAGACGAATATTTGAAACTAAGATGGTTTGTTCAAGTACTTCAAATAGATAGCTTGTCACATTTGACATATCCAGGAAGGGTAAAATCCAAAAGTGGTGCAACTCATAGGAACACCAGCAAAATAACATGATAGATTCGTAGGAAACCCTAGGGCATGACAAACCTATACGTAATATTGGCGATAAAGTTTGTGAAAGAAAAAAAATTCTGATAGATTACGCATAATAATCAAGGAAGGCACCAATTGTTAAACTTCTAAGAATCAGATGATAAAAGAATTAAGAACAAAGAAATGTATACCATCTTTCAGTTGGGCCTGTTGCTCCATGGCCAGAAGACGACATTTCAACTCATTGTTCTGGTTTGTAAGCCCAACAGAATCTCTCTAAAGAAGGAAGACCAAACAAAGAAGAGATGATGAGGGAACAAGTATGAACCGAGGCCCATTAATGGGGAAAAGTGTAAAAATTGGTATAATTTGTTAGAACTTTATACCTACCTGTAACATTGTTAGCTGTGCAGATAATGTGGTCGCCTCTGTTTGTAGAGTCTGCACCTTGTGCCCTAATTCTGCAATGTACCGCATCTTCCGCTCCTTGGAACGAGCAGCTGATTGACGATTAGCCAAATTCCCGTCATGAATAAATCAGAATCATCAACTATGCCCAATTATATGCAACAGCAGAAGAAGAAGAAGAAACAACGTGCACAACCTTTTGGTGCGTTTTGGATCCACAGATGCAATCTCAACTAGCTTATCATTTTCCATGATCTTTTTTAGCTCAGCTTCATTGAACTCACTATTCTCAAGCTCAAAGTTGAACTTGCTCGAATTTGCATCAGCTGAGCTACTAGGAGATTGATGACCCCTCGATTTCCCAAAGGAGGAATCTTTGGTGACTCATCATCAAATTGCAGACTTCCCATGTAACTATCCATTGAAACACTTCTGTAATGCCTAACAGTCCGAGCAATATCTCCACCAGCACTCCTCTTTACCCCTTCCTTCTTCTCATTTGAAACACCAGAACTCATGCCATGCATACGGATTGGATGTCCATTTACTCTACTCTCCACTTCATTGTCACTACTTTCACCTCCATAGGTCTTTGTGCCACTGGCTCTGCTATCCAAATCCTTATCCTCAGTGCCAGAAGAGTTCAATGTCTCAAGATTTTCCAAATTCATGTACGCATTGAAAAAGTCATCTGCAACATCCCCCTCGGATTTCCTCTTAGCCGTCACTTCTACGTTACTACTCCCATCCTTGCTCCATTCTGATTCTCGTTTCACCAACTGAATTGGTTTCTCTACACCAGAAGAATTCTCCCTAACCGAAACTGACCTATCCAACATTCCACGACTCCCTATCGAAACCAATTGATGCGAAGACTGAATCATAGCAGAAAATCCAAATGGAACATCACTGCTAGACCTCCTATGTCCTCTACGTAGACGCAAACTTGAACTGTCGCCGACACGAAACTCATTACTTCCTCTAGCAACAGGTGAAGGAAGTGAGGACCCAACATTAGAATTAACAACCCTTTCTTCCATAGAAACATCGTTAGAAGCGGGATCAGAGAGAGACAAAACAGAAGGCTCGTGATGAGGGGAAGGACTCCATGGGGCCAAGCTATCAAGGGAAAAGAATGTGGGTTGAGATAAAGACCTAGAATGAGACGGTGCCCCTTGTTGAGAATTGGGACGAGAACCACTGATCTGTGAATAAGGCAATGAAGCAGCAGGGTTGTTGGGTGTGAAGGAGGTATCCCAGGTCTTTTGTTACTGTTGTTCTCACGACTCAAACGCATATAAGTAGAAGGATAACCCAGTTGAGAGGCATTGAAAATGGGTATATCTAAGTTGCTTTGAGACTTATGGATTGAATTCGAAAGTGATGATTGAAGCTTCTACATATTAGTTCTACTCTTACTAATACCCTGCATATTCTTTCATAGTTCTTTCAACTGCTAAAATAAAAGGGAAAAAACAAAGTATTTCTAAATTTATACCTGTTAAAAGCTCTAGCTTTGTGCAGTAAAATGAATCAAAATGAGAGACCAAACAATGTGGCGGTGATTACAGTGTCAAAAGTCAGAACAAAAGACTTTGAAGAGAAGTGGGAATAGCCGGAAATTTTGTTCTTCTCAAGACAAAAGCTCTCTGTTTCACTACAAGACAAACCTATATTTTCTTTGTCAGTGAGAAGAAAAAAACGCGTGAGGAAACAGCAGAAATTTTATTTTATTCACGCGTTTTCTCAATCTTTCCTCTTTTATCTCAGCCATTTTTTTAGTAAGTAGGATTATAAAACTTACATTATTTAATTTCAATAAAACATAAAACATGTTTGTTGTTATCCGGAAAAATGATGTTTTTTCTTAAAAAAATAAAAATTGAACCATATAAATGAGTAATATTATTATATTAAGCTTTTTTTTAAAAGTATTTTAGATTACTAGCAGCATTTAAAATGGTAAAATAAATTTTGGTTCATTTAAGGTAATAATTTTTATTTGTGGAGAAGATTTATATAGTAATTTTAGTTGGTACATTTTATTTATCTTTTTTTACTATAATACTACAATTGTAATATTACAATTTAAATTTACGAAGGGATTCATCAATTATAAATGTGAGCTTCATTTAAATTTTCATAGTTTCCACATAATTTTAAAATATGTATAGTCTATTTTATTCAAATTAGGAAATTACAAAAAAAAAAAAACTTGCTTGTTTAATCTATAATAATTTTCTGGCCAGAATTTTTATTTACATTTTCTTATCTAATATAATAATATTGCAATTTATAAGAAAAGTGTAGCATAAGATATGACGTCATACGTTATTATAGATAAAAAATAAATATCTATAACTTTATAGATTTGGAGAGATTGACATTAAAAATTTTGTAAATTTTTAATACAATGGAATGAAATACAAAATGCGTTAGACCCAAATATTCTTCTAAGCTAAAAACTCCAAAATAAAGTCAGCTTATGAGACTAATGTCGATTAACTTTTCAATTAATTAATATGTTATTATAATTAATATTCAAAAATTATAATTTTGAATAAGTTTATCCGTAAATGTTCTCATCAATTCTATAAGTATTAGATTAAGGGGTTCATGAATAAATTAAAATTTTCAAAAATAATATTAAAAAATTTTATAACCTCTTCACCTAAACATAATTTGTTTTTTTAAGCAAATTTTACTCGCAAGTAAATAAAATATATATGCATCGCACTTAATTCAAGTGATTCAATTATATTTTTAAATACAATAGTTATAAGATAAAGGGTGAAAGGTAGAATTAACTTTTACCATCCTTAAGCATTTTCTTACTTGCATCATTTTTCTTATGATATCGATGAATTGAGTATCGAGACATATCTTAAAATTATAATTTTGATATTATTTTTTTTTATCAAATCGATCGTGAATTTTATCCAAATACTTACAAATTTTATTTTATCTTGACATCGAAAAATAAAATAAAATTTTAAATAGTAACCCAACAATAACATGTTTTAATGATTAAAAATTTTATGTCACTCCTTAAGCGCTTAAGCTCGACAAAGTTAATTATTAGTTATTTATACCTTGACATTATGGTTCACATTTATCTATACTTTTCACTTTTAATATACATTTATTTATATTTTATAAAAATATTATTTTTATCAATCATTTTCAAGCTATCAAATAAAACATCTTTTTCTCACAAAAAATGACAAAAATTGAACACTCTAAGCTGCATAATAGTAATTTGAACAGTTCATCTTAAATTGAAGTTAAAATAAAAAATTAAACCTGTTTTTAATATAAAACAAAATACAGTTTTTTTAATTGACTCAAATCAAACTTGTCTAGAAAATTTCGGGCCTAGGTGTAAGGGTTACCTCCAACTGAGTTTGTGGCCCATTAAAATAAAATGGCCCATATTTCTCCGTTAGCATTCTTGCCTCACCGTCACGTTAATTTATCACACTCTCTTCCCCAAAACGCACCGAAAAAAGGTTATAAAATGAGGTCGGGATTCGAGAGCATCATTGTAAAACCCTAATTCGCATTTTACAGCGTTCGCTGTCTTCGTTCATCAACGTTCTGATTTATCTTTAGGGTTTCATCATCAAGCTGCTTCGTTTATTTTTCAAATTATTTTTTTCGAAAAGTTATTATATGTTTTTTCATTCCTTTTATTTTGGTTACACTACTTTTTTTAGATGAAAATGGGCCAAATGATGAATATTCGAATTGCTGAATACTCAAAATCAAGTATCATGATTTTGTTTATTTTGAATAGGAAGATCTGATGCCTCTTTATTTATTATTTCTTTTGTTTATAATAATTTATTTTATTTTATTTTTTTAGCTGCGGATGAAGAAATAAATGAAATTTACAGTTATCCCTGGCTGATTTATCTTTTAAAGTGCTGATATTTCTTTGAATTCTGACGCAAAATTGCAAAATTTCCAAAAATTTTTTTTTTTCTAAATCTTGTATACAAGAAGCCAATGATGAAACCATGGAGACTTTCTGAAATGCAGTTCTATTGGTTCTGCATGAATTTGTGGAAACTCACGAACTAGGACGGTCTGAGGCTTTTTTTTATTATTATTATTTATTATCTTGTTTTCAGCTTTTGAAATTTGGGTGGAATTTATTTTTCCCATTATTATATTATAATAAATATATTTAATGTTTTGTTACAGTGCTGTGTATGATGAGAAAATTTTGAAATCAGTTATCCCTGGCTGATTTTGGTTATGATGACATCTTGTGATCTGACACAGACTGAACTGAACTATGGTTTTTAGACAAAGATTGAGTTTTGTTTTACATGTCTGCTCCGATTGGTACTATTGATTCGATTATGTTTTGGAAAAATAGGTTTCAGTTTATAAATCAGAATTTGGATTTACAAAAGATTTTGAAGAGACCTTGAAATTGAAATAAGGAATCAACAAATGATGCTAATTTTTGTGATTTCAAGAATCCAATCAAATTATCAACAGCTTGTCATAGCGTTTGGAGAAGGAAATTGATGGATTGAGCTTATAAATTGACATTTCATTCAAGTACAACAAGATGTTGAGGCACAATGCTTTTACAATGAAGTAGAGTTACAGGTAACATAGTGCAAAGTTGACACCCCCATCAATTTCCATGGTTGGATTTGGCAAAGAAAATGGATGCGACATACCCTTCATTCTCTCTTCAACTATCAGTCAGTCCTCACTCCTACTAAATGCGAACATCAGCTAATAAAATGCTAAGGGAGGATAGCAGCAGTAGAGACGGAGAGATCAGAGGCTCCTCACTGCTAAAACGACCAAGGATGCTTACCTGAGCGTCAAATGACTTTTATCTATTTCTCCATTACCCATGTCATAAGCATTCGGTAATGTATCTTAACAACCTACTTGATCGTGATGTAGCGGTTTGTCCCATGCTTGGCCCAATGGTCCTTAAGATCAACAGGATTGGACAAATCGTGACCTTCAGCTGCAAGACGGCTAAGCAGCTTGTTGAAAGCACTTCCACTCATCTTTCTGCCACCAACTCGGGCATGTCGTTTGTTAGGTAACGCTGGTAAAGGATACATTGACAAGGTGGTTGTGCAACATGAAGATTGCCATCCCCCACTTCCCCATTTGTAGCACTGCCTTGGGAAACCAGTGCAAGAACAAATAGGAGGTGGCATGGTTGAGTCATCAAATGCAACTTGATTCAACCCCAGTTCCTGAACTTTCCAAACAGACTTTGTTGTCACAAGCTGTTTGTTGAGATCATCACCCCCACCACCCACATCTTGTCCACCCTTCCACTCATGTGACTTGCCAAACATAATCTTATTCAAGTCCTCATTCTCTCGTTTCACCTTTTTCGGAGGCTTTGATGCCTTCTTGTTAGGTGCAATTAGCTTGGCTTCTTTTGCTCGTTTGCCCTGTCTTGACTTTGCAGCTTCAGAGGTACTTGGTGTCACTGGTAGGGTGTCACTTGAATGCATTTCCCTTGAGTTGTAAGAAGCTTCGCTAATGTGGGGCAGATGGTGAACATTTTGCTGTGGATGTTGCATGTGCTTTGCCCCACGAGAGATTTGGCACCCTGGTGGGCAAGATGACATATTACCAGATGCTGAGGAGTTCTCTCTATACTGAAGAGTTGCTATGGCATTATAACGTTCCGCTATGGCACTATTTCGCTCAGCAATTGCTGCATCTCGCTGCAAGAATGCCATATCTCTCTCAGCAATAGCTGCCTTTTTCTCAGAAAGTGCTAAATTCCTTTCTTGAATAGCTGCATCTCTTTCAGCCATAATGGCCATTATCTGCTTCATTGATGGCTGATGCATCAGCCACTACAACAATAATGCTCATAAATTAGCATCATGGACAGAAGTTTTCAGAAAATGCTGAAATTAAACACATTAATCACGGAGGGGAGTTTATTCATTTATTCCATTCTACATCACTCCAAGTATCTATAATCTGCAAAAAAAAAAAAAAGAAGCCTTAAGATACCTGACCCTGAGCTGTTCTATACTGATCTGTTTTGAGTCTTCCATGATCACGATGCCCACCATCATCCATGGGACCCCAAGAAATTGTTGAGGTTGACAAAAAAGTTTCAGAACTCCGCTGCGAGGGTGGTACTCAGTCAAGTAAGCATCACATCACTTTTGAGGGCAGAAAATCCTGTATATCAGAAAAGGTGGAAGGGGGAACCATTCAGGTTAAGTTATTAATAGCAAAGAATTACTACATCAACTAATATAGCTGATATCATCCCACAAAAAAAGCTCTGCTCTTACCATGGAGAGTGCGTGAGGAACAGAAATCCATCCTCTGGAGGTTGATCTTCCCTGAATAGGAACTGATGCATAAATACATCATCAAGAACAAAGAAAAAAATGTTTAAACACCAATTATTCTTCAGTTATTAGCAACAATTCAAGCAGTTCCATGAGATTCATTAACTAGTTTAGTCAACAAGCTAATCACCCTGAATTAGCCTTCAAAAATCAGCCTTACGACTCTATCAATCCTATGAAACATACATATTAGTCAGAAGGGTTTCCAAAGTAGAATCTTTAGAGGCAAAACATCTCCTCTCTCTATATCTAAAGGCCAATTGTCTAGAACATCGACCCATAAAAAGAAATCTGGACTTAATAACTGATAATTAGAATTGAATATCGATTTTAAATCCAATGCAAGTAAGCTCACCAACTTCCCTTTCCTCCCTTATTTCCTTTTCAGGATCAAACTACAGATTCTATAGATAACTAGATGTTAGTAACAAATATTTGACACTTCAAACACCAATTTTAATCCATAGAGTTTTCACATAGCACTAAAGTCTACTGCTTTACTACCTTAACTTTGTATTTCCAGTGAGACAATGAAAGCTTCAATTTTCAGGCAAGAGTTGAATAAATAGCTTTTCCAGCTATTTATGCAAGATACTAAAGACTTCTAATTATCTCATATGACCAGCTAAAGGCCCAATTTTTCCAGAAGTCAAAACACTAAAAACATAGCTTTTCCAGTCCAAAGCTAACAGCAAAACCCCCAGAATCATCAAATTCTTAGCTGAAAGCTGAAAATCAAAAGTCCTAAGTTCACTTCCACAGGTAATTTGAAGAACCCAGTTCATAAAACAAGCTTAAAACCCTAGAAATGAAAAGTATGAAGCCCGTCAAAGCAAGCTTCCCTGGCTCCCATAAACCACTAACCACAAAAACCAATCAAAAACAGGTAAGGTAAAAGCAGAAAACACTAAAAATAAAGCATAATTAAGATGGGTTTAAAGCCAAACCGATTGTAAAAAAAATAAAAGAGTGGGGATAGAAGAGAAGAAGAAGAAGAAAAGGCTCGCTAGTGGAAGAATTTCAGAGGAAAGATATGGGAATCAGAACAAGAATTTGGAAAGACGGAAGATCTGTGGAAAAGGAAGAGGGGAAGAAGGAAAGACAAAGGAAATTTTCCTTACTTCTCGTGTCCTAAGTTTTTTCACCTGTCTGGCTGTCTCAATCTACGTTCTTCTTTTGTTTGCTTTCTTTGATTTTTCACTGTGGGCTATAAAAGATCAGCCGGTATGAACTCTTCCTAGCTCCTAAGCCGTTGAACGAAAGTTGAAAGGCGATGAAACGCTGTTGTCCAAAGTTCGAATATGTACCTTCGATTACATTGGCGATTGACCGCCGTTGAGGGTAAACAGGTATCAATTTGATGAAACCGAACCTTCTATTAAGGTTTAAGAACTCTTAAAAAAAAAAAAAAATCGTTTAGATTTTCTGCTTTTAAGAAACGCTTAAGGATATGAATCTAATTTTAAATTATAATATAATATTTAATACGATATTTAATTTTTAAAAAATTTTAATATAATATTTAAATTATAAAATTATTAATTAATATAATATTTAATTTTATGTAATTAAATTTAAATAATGATATATAATGCATAAATAATCATTTAAATATCATATTAATTAATAAATTTATAATTTAAATATCACATTAAAAAATTTTAAAATCCAAATATCTTATTTAATATTTTATTATAATTTAAAAATTAATCATAATATTAACCTTTTAAAAAAATAAATTAGATATATTTGGTAATATATATACTAAACTAAAATAATTTAAAAAATTTTAAAATTTATCATTTATTTAAATAAATACTTATATTTTTATTATCTCTAAATAAAATTTTAACTTTTAATTTAAATTTAAATAAGCATATCGATTACATTATGATTTGTGACTTTAATTTTGTGACATGATTGGAGTATTTATTTTTACATGAGTCAAACATGAAATGATATGATATATGACCAACTTTTATTTGATATACTACCATTTAGTAATGGTATATTGGATTATAAGTACTACCACTGATTAATAGTAATACATATTAAAAAATAATTTATAATAAAAAATATGATACATAACAAAAAGTATAATAAAAAATAATAATTCATAATAAAAATGTAACGCATAAAACAAATGATAATTTATAAAAAAAAGGGTAATATGTTAAAAAAAAATAACACATCAAAAATGATAATTATAACAAAAAGTGGTAATATATGTAATAAATCTCATGTTTGAGTATCAACATTTTTATTTTTTGTGAGAAAAAATTATTGATATATATAGAGAAAAAAGAGTACTTTTGTTAATAGTACTAATTACAAAGACAAGCGTGTGGACAAGCTCCAAGCTGTACTGGGCTTATACATTTATATTGAACATATTTTTGTAATTATATTCTTACGAAACTTAAATTTTATATTTATTTAAAAAAAAATGAAATTGCAATGTAAACATAAAATAAAATAATTATAAAATTTAAATTATTAAATATTAAAAAAATTATATAAATCAATCGAATAAAATTTCCAGTTCACATGATTTTTTCTTTTCTTTTGGAAAAGATGCGTAGGGATATTAAAAAAACTTGTCCACGCTGGCAATCCGCGTTTCTCAGACTCCCAATCAGATTCAATCACGCGGATGAAGGCATTGTCAAAAATTTCTCTCTCTACAAAGCCGTTACAATAACTTTTTCGTTTTTCCATATTTGTCTCTCAATTTAAACCGACCTTAATCCTTCCGGTGGTCATCTGTGAAAGGTCAGCGCCTCATCCAATAACTTTCATTCCCAAATTTCTCTCCCAAAATCAAAACCCTAATTTCTAGAGACTTCAAATTTTAGGTTTCTATCTTTAGGTATTTCTCGCTAGATCTGATCGTATCTCTGATTGTGAATTTCTTGATTGAAGAGAAAAGATGGCTCGTACGAAGCAAACCGCTCGCAAATCAACCGGAGGAAAGGCTCCCAGAAAGCAGCTCGCCACCAAGGTATGATTTTGTTAGTGTTTTGATTTCTTGATTTTATTGGTATTATTACGTTCTGATTATCTGCTTCAATGGCAAACAATCAATTCCAGGCTGCGAGGAAATCTGCGCCTACAACCGGCGGAGTCAAGAAGCCTCATCGCTACCGTCCTGGAACCGTTGCTCTTCGTGAAATCCGTAAATACCAGAAGAGCACAGAGCTTTTGATCCGCAAGTTACCCTTCCAGCGCCTTGTTCGTGAAATTGCCCAAGACTTCAAGGTATTACGTATTACGAAATTACACGAAAGCAAAACCCCAAATCCCAATTTGCTTAATTAGGGCTTATGGTCACTCTGTTTTTGTGCTTTTGTTTTTTTGGCAGACGGACTTGAGATTCCAAAGCCATGCGGTTCTGGCACTGCAGGAGGCTGCGGAGGCGTATCTAGTTGGTTTGTTCGAGGATACCAATTTGTGTGCTATCCATGCCAAGAGGGTCACTATTATGCCCAAGGATATTCAACTCGCCAGACGAATTCGTGGGGAGCGTGCTTAATTTTGCTTGAATTGTTTCTGTTTTCTATTCATTAACTACGTTACGTGTTGTGCTCTTTTTGTGAGTGGATTGGATTCTTCTTAAACCAACTTACATAAAGGTTTAAACGAGTTTCGTTTTTAATTAGAATGTCCTGGGATAATTGTAGTTGTCCCAATCGATTTTCTTTTCAAAGATCCGTGTTTTGATCTCTTTGGGTAATTCTTCTTCAATGGTTTGGGTTCATTACCCATATTTTGTTGGTATTTTTGTTGTTTATTCATGGTTTTGGATTGTTGAATCATGTTCCTACTACTTCGGAACATGAAACCTTGATTGGATTCGTTATTGTGCTCTCAGCAGGTTTTGATAATACGGGGGGACATTGGAATGATGATTGATATTTGATACTATTTATGAATAGAACTTGTAGATTCATTGATGGTACCTGAAGATATTAGGAAGATCTGGCATGAATAACCTTATTTATTGGGTACTGTTTTTAGGGAAAAAATTCCATGTAGATAATAATCTGGAAAAGCGTGCTACACTTCTGATTCCAGGACTTCAATGGGTTGGTCTTGGTCATTGGGCTTCTGGTTTGCATCCAATCAACAGTTTAGTGGGTCAAATCAAACATTTGGTCTGGTTGGGCCGACCAATCAAAGCCCATGAAGTCTAATTTCATTAAGATGGGCTCAATATCTCTCCATCATAGACTTTTCAGACACAAAATAGGCTTCTATTTGTCATCTGTTCTGGTCTGTCATCAAATTCAGAGCTAAAAATAGTATGGCCCGTGCTCATGTCCCTTAAGTTGCGACCTTGTTCTGTTCTTTCGATCATGCAAGGGTCAGGTGGGTTCTTCAGTCTTCATTAAAGCATGCTTTTATATCAAAGTGTTTGAGTGCAAATTTAGAGCAACTAGCGTGGTACATCAAACGTTGAGGCAACGATACGTTTCCAAGTGCCTCTCTATTCTCACATCTCCTTCTTGGGTATCCTTTTTACTATTTAATTTCAACATAAACCAACTCCCATGCCGTTCTGTAGTTTTCACCAATTTGCAAAGTCCCTACACTCCTTTCTTCCACAATCTTATTTCCGTTGCTTTTTATGCGAATAATATGCAAAGCTCATCCTTCTGTTTCTGGTGGCAGCTACTAAACTTGATCTAGTTTATGAAGGCTGGCTGTATAATACTAGGAGGAAATTAAGGCAAAATTTGCAGACCCTGGTATCAAGTGCCCGTGAGCTTTGAATCTTACATGAAAAATAATTAAAAGAAAACAAAGGAGATTGAAAGAGAGATCAGAGGTAGGCTTGTTTTGTACATGACATTCTGCTAGTTCCAACTCCGAAAAACGACAGGCCTTTACATTATCTTGACACAGAATTAGTAAAATGATTTGACAAATTATTTGTCCTGCAGCTTCTCCATAAGAAGCTTGTGCGACGACCAGATAATAAGAGCTAAACAACCAACACCGCATTTTTGGTTGATCTTTGGAAGCAATTGCTATTGGTGTAAAGGCCTATATTTTAACGAAGAATTCTAAAGCCATAATCAATGCCATAGTAAGTAAAAGAATTAAAGGAAGCACAGAAAACAGCTGCAACAATCATGTTTTAAACATGAAAAGATTTAGGAAGGTTTCCACACGATGGCCCTACTGGCTTTTTAATGGTCATTTTGGCTTATGGATGGCCCTGGACGTATTCCACACCAAATTATACGGGCCGTGACTAAATTAATCAACTACTTTTAGTTAGTGGAAAACAATTAAAACACCTTTGTGTTAGTTGTAGATACTCCAATTTGTTTAAAATTTTACTTTTGTTAATTAAAAAAATAAATAATAAATAATAAAAAATAAGAAAAAGAAATCAAGCGGTTGAATTTAAATGAAATTGTTTGTCTAGATTTGGGTTGGACTTAAAATCCGAAGTTAAAATTTAAAAGAAATCAAAATCCTTTATAGATTAGAGTTTTCTTGATCAGAACTTTATAAATATATACCCACATAGAAAAAAAAAAGTAGAGATAAAAAAACACAAGCAAAGGTAGCCAGAGAGTATGAAAATTTTTGGGAGATTTTTGGATTTAAAAAGATTTTTTTTCTTGAAATTTTTTGAAAAATTTTCAAATTTTGATTGAATTTTCCATTGATCTTTGAATATTTCAGCAACTTTTTAGCAAGATTCTCAGTTTTCGACGTCAGTTTTTTAGAAACCGATGAACTTTTGATGATTCAACCTAAATTTTGATGAAATTTTCAGAATTCGGTGAATATTCAATCAGAGTTCATTTGAGTTCTAGAGAGAAAGAGAGAAAAGAGAAGAGGAGAGAGAGAGAGAGAGAGAGAGAGAGAGAAAATCTGAAAAAAAAAAAAGAATTTGGTCTTTTATACTGCTGTTAAATGATGTCATTTTATACATTTAAGAAACTTAAGATTTGCGTGTTTTCTAGCAGGTGACTCGACTCATAACGCTTGACAAGTTTTTGACCCACGTTCTTGGCTCCCATCGAACTGAGCCACAAATCGTGCTATTCCAACCGTTTCCCTTGCCTACAGTCCAGCCGAGTTCTCCAGTCGAGTCGAACCGTGTTCTTGTTTTGTTATTTTTTATTTTTTAAATATTTTTGCATGATTAAATTTTAGGAAAAGTAAAAAAAAAAACAAAATAACATATATTTTTTGAAAATAAATAATAATTATCCAATGATGAAATTTTTAAAAATTTCAAATGGTAAATTTTTATAAAATTCCTAGGTGAGAAATTTTTTCTAAATTTATCTCAAATAGTGAAATAATTTAGAGAAAGTTTCAATAATAATAATTAATATTTATTTTCAATTAAAAAAATAAAAAAATAAAAATTTTGAATTTTGGAATTAAATACTAATTACCTAATGATGAGATTTTTAAAAATTTCAAATGGTAAATTTTCTAAGAAATCTTTAGGTAAGAAATTTCTTTAAATTTGTCCCAAATGGTAGAATAATTTAGATGAAATTTTAATAAAAGTAATTGTATTCTTTTTCAAATAAAAAAATTTCTAGTTGAAAATATTTGATAATTATTTAAGGGTGAGAATCTTAGAAATTTCAAATGACAAATTTTCTAAGAAATCTCTAGGTGAGAAATTTCTTTAAATTTGTTCCAAATGATGAAAGAATTTAAATGAAATTGTCATATTATTTTCTTTCCAAATATTAAGAAACTAACAAAAGTTTTTTTTTTCCTAAACAAACCATGATGGTGAAAAATTTAGAAATAAAACTTATAAAAAAAATTTCTAAATAGACCAAAATAGTGAAAAAATTAGAAATAAAATAAAATAAAAAATAAAAAAATTTTGAGGATGATATTTTTAGCAATCGCAAATGGTTGATTAGCTAAGAAATTTCTAGGTGAGAAGATATTTCTAATTTTAGCTAAAATGGTGGATGAATTAGATATATTTTCAATAAAAAAAAATGATTAAACCTTTTCTAGATGACGGAGCCTCTTTAAGAAAACAAATGAAATTCTTGAATATTCTTGAGGTGAAAAAATATTTTTTAAGAATTTTATCAGATTGATGGAGAATTTTAAAAGTTATTTCCAATATTCAACATTAAAATTTAAGATTGTTAGAATAAAAACTTTAAAATAATTTAAAATAAAATAGTATCGTCTTTTGGATGGGTATGTGGGGGTGCTATAACCTTTCTCATATGTAACCAAACTCTTGAACCCTATTTTGATTAGTAGACTAGAGCTTATTCTTTTAGGGACCCTTAGTCAAGCTTAGGAGCTCTTTGAAAGGATAGATTCATTAGGCCAATCACGCCTAGGTAAAAATGATTAGTGGTAACTTCTCTTATTAAGTCTAGCTATAGATTTACAAATCTATATGTTATGATAGTTTGGTGACTCCACCGAGAAAGCTATAGAGAGTCAGGCCATAACAATTTTAAATTTATCTTATCTTTTGAGTTAATGGTTTTAAAATGTAATGATTATGTTATTTGTTTACTAAAGTTTTTTCTTTTTTTGTCTCTTATTTGATTTATGGGGTTGAAAATTTTATGTTCCTTCACGCACACTATTACATGCATTTGCATTACATAAGCTCTATACCCAGGCTTCATCTTTTTTAGGAGAAAGTAAAGTACTTACGCTCTCGTGAAATGATAATCTCCATAAGGGCTAGCAAAATACTCCCTTTCAAATTAAATCTTTTCTGTTGGTAGCCTGTGATGGGTGAGAAATGAGAATGTCGTACTAGTTTGTAATAGACAATGATATAAGAAATAATTTGAGAATCTTTAGTAGTCAAAACACTTAACCCTGCATATAATCTACACTTAAAATGTCAGCCTTAAGATAGAGCCATTCCTACCTCTTAATAAACGTAACCCAAAGTTAGGACACAAGAAGGAACAGTTTGTGATTTAACCATTTTATTTGTTTGACTTTGTGTATTTATATCATTTCAATATCATTTAATTCTATGAATCATTTACATGGTCATGTTTAACATTATCATTTGCATCATTCTCATATAGGGAATATTTACCACATACCAGTCATTGATAAATCAGATTTCATACCTACATCCATGAAAAGCTAAATATAATCAAAATGTACATCAATTTGTTACAAATCTCCTAATCAATTGAAAATCAAGTTAGATGAAGGTTAAAGAAAATATGGTAATTGCTTGCCTGAGGGTTTTATTTCAATGTTGCCTAAGAGAGTTCATCTCGATCTCCAACAAAATAACTTAGCTGACCTAAGTAATGTTTGAGGATGTATGAGTAGAACAAGGCATGAGGTATTTAAGAATAAATATGAAGACATAGCTTCACTGCTTTAAGTTGATATGGATAATAATTTGATCAGAGCTATCCTTTAGTTTTAGGATCCTTCTTATAAATGTTTCATCTTTAATGAAACAGATATGGTGTCTATAATTAAAAAGTACATAGTCCATTTTGCTTTGATTTACCAAATCCAGACAAGATTTATTGGTCAAATAAGGTGGGTTATCATAAGAAGCTTGTGCATATATTTGGACTTAGCTTGCCTCAAGTTGAAGCATGCGTCAAGACAAAAGGTGAAAGTAAGGTTATCACATTAGATTTTCTGTGAGACTTCATCCAAGGGCATTTGGATAATGATCAGGGGTTAGTGGCAATGGTTATA